AGAGGAGTTAATTTGAGCCCACTAAATTAATTAAGTCCAATAGTCCAAGGTTGGTGGGTTTGAATTTATCGCAAGTCTAAGATTGGTGGACTTAGATTTATCGCCTTCAAACGGACCGAATCGCTCTAAGCCTCGAAAGGTTCAAATCTACGAACTTAGAGACTTACTCGAGTTCGGACTTAAAAGGGTTCGAATCCATGAACCTAGAGATCCGAAGCACTTGGCTTCGAATTAATTCAGACGCAATCTAGAAGCCGCTCCATAATGAGTCCCAGAACACTTGCGAACTCGGAGCTTTCCGGGATCTACGTACCAGAACCATGGGCGTAATGGAGTCCGAACAGAGGACCCGATCCCGATGACGGTGAGTGGAGATAAATTCACTATTCGGTTAAACTAGCCTATACCCGGGTCGAGGTGGCACGATCTAGGGGGTCTCTGAGACTCGGCAATATTTGCGGCAAGGCGTTCTCTTGAACTACCCCCGACCCTTATGCGATAGGGCGTCCTCTGGGACTACCCCTGACCCTTTGGGATAATTGGGGATCATTGGTTAAGTGTGGCTAAGAAGAGGTGTTTGCCGAGAGGTTAATCTCCTCTTCGGGGTTTTCTTCATCCTCGGAGAGGTCACCACTTCAGACGAGGTGGTTAGAGAGAATATTCTCCATGTGTCTTGCACATGGGCTCCATCCTACATTATGAGGTGCCTATAAATAGCACCCACCCATAGCTTTATAAGGGATGGATTTTGGAGAGACAACTCTTGGGAAATAACTAATTTCCCTTCTCCATTATCAACATTGAGAGTGAAAGTGGGAGATCCATGGGAGAGCCTTACCATTATTCTCTTTCTCTAGCTGCTTTACCTTCTTCTTCACCCAATCTCTTATTTCATCATCTCTTTGTTTTTGTGTTCTTAGTTGAGACTATTGAAAAATCTAAGTCTCTCATCATCTTTTAGAGAATTCGAATTTTTTTTCAAGGATTTTCGAATTTTTCAACGTATTCTTGAATCCTCTCATACATATACAAACTTATACGGTAAAATTTATTATTATAATGTTTTCTTATCAAATTTTAAAAGACATCAATTTATAATTTATTCAAATTTAAAGTGATCTTATAATGTGGGGCCATACATGTTGGGAAATGCAAGCGTGCTAGAACTTCCCATATTTGTTAGCTTTTGATCAATGATATGATGGCCTGCCGGATAAGATATGTTTTTACTGGGTTGCGCTTTGAGGTACCGTGAGTTCTTCATGAATCTTATTTTGATTATTTAAATTATTTATTTTTGAAAGATTCAGTATATAATATATATATTATTTGATTTTTGGCTCATTTGTAGTCTGAATCAACATATATCATTTGTAAAAAAAATTAAATTGATACGATATTTATAATTTTTTTATTTTGTCGTATTTGTTTATGAAAAAATAAATGACATGCGCGTTTTTAAAAATAGGCTATTAATATTTTAAAAGATAAATATGATAAAATAAAAAATGTTACGATTATAGGACTAATCTATTTTTTATTTTTATTTTTTATAAATAATATACATAAGAAGTTGTATACAAAACAAACAATTGAAATTATTGAAACCAAACTTGTGATCTCATCAGCCCCCAAATCCAACCCCTTTTTGTACTAGTTTGTGACACTCAAATTTAAGCCTCCTTATCTGTGAGTTGCAGTTTAATTGTCATTTATTTCCCTTTTCGTTGACTAAAAAAATATATAAATAACTATTCGGAAAATTGTTTCGGATTTAGTGAAACCCATGAATTTCCCTACCACTTTATTTTACTTTTCAGTTAGATCGAAAATTTGATATTCCTTGACCATCAATCTACAAAGTGATATGAAACTTTTTTAAAAATATAAATATTGTTGTTTTGTTGGTGTCATATTTGAACTATTAAATTAGAAGGGGACACATTACAAGCAAATGATAAATATTCACACATACAAATTATTAAAGAATTCCACCTTTGAAGCAGCTCACATAAACAACCGGTGCGAGTTTTAACAACTGAAAGATAGTTATTCAACATGTAAAGAGCGCAAGGGAAAGAAATTAAAACAGTAAGTTACCAGTGATTATGCATGCATGAGGCAAATAAGGGGACCTAAGAAGTAGCTGAAGGAGATCATGGAGAGGAAAAACAGCTAACTGTTTCGAAAGTTAAAAGAAGATTATAAATAGATGAAAGCGGCCCTGAATAAATTCAAATTCTACGTCTCTGTCATTTCATTTATTTTTAAATTTATGTACTGCACTTATTTTTCATAAGAGTAGATTAAAGTAACTCTTGTACTTCCAAAACTCAACATTCGAAGTTGTTGGTAACATTTTGTAATTGTGTTATTCAATTAATCAATTACATTTTCTATCCAATCTCTATTTTCCATTCTGTTTCGATTTCAATTATATTGGTTTCTTACTAAAACACAACCGTTACAGTTCTCTTTATTAAGGCTAAAAAAACCTAATCACAAACGGCTAATAAGTAAATTGGCTTGTAAAATTTTGTAAGAACTTTTCAAATCTTTACAAGCACGCGATAATTACATTTTTGACATTCAAAGTGCTAAAAGAACCAATAAGTTCATAGTCCGTAATTTTATTTTATTTTTAATTTAAAAAGAATATAAATAGTGGTTTAACATATGCAAGTTTATTAAAATTAACACGTAACCTATCATATATTATTGTCGGTAAATTAGAAACAACATTTAGAAGTCTCAATATTTTTTTGCAGACCATCTCGGCCATTTTTTAGGATTAATATAGGAAAGGATATTTGGAAAGAAACTCGTTGGAGAGTCATCGACAACATACATAGAATGGACCAATTCTTCGGCCCATAGGCCCATATCAAAAGAAACCCAAACCCAACAATAGTTGGGCACCCACAATTCCAGACTCAAATGTTTCAACCTAACCTAAAAACATAAAAATATCATGATTGTCACTATTAAAGAGCCAATGGAGATAAAAAAATGAACCACTTAATTATCAGTTTATCAGTTGATATGGTTTGAGCGCTTTAGTTAAAATTAAAATGTAAGCCCCATCAAGAATTAAAAATATATATTATGTTAAAAGGTTTGTCGGACCAACCCATGCGCAAGTCCCCCAATAGGGCTAGGCAAAGGGCTTTGAAGCCCGACCCAATTGGAATGGCTTTAGAGTTTGATCAAGTTTGTTTGTTAGTTTTTTTTATTTTTTATTTTTTTAATATTTAAAATTGAATTAATGTCATTGGAAAAAAATTGTCCATGCAAGTCTAAGAAACCTCTATTTATTATCAATTTGGCATTAATAGATGAGTTTTGTCTTCTCTCGGGTAAGAATCTCAACTTGAGAGAATGTTTGAGTTTAATAGGCTCATTGTGATATCAATTTTGATGATTTAAACTGTTCATTTTTTTAGACTTATTGAGTAAAATGTTTATATAAAAAATAACATGATAGGACATCGATACTTATATATTTGAATCATATTTATTTTAAAAAAATAGACAACAAATATAATTTAAAAATAACCGTCTATTTTTTGTAATATAAATTTATTTGAAACATATAACTAATGATATCTAATCATTTTAATTTTTTCATAAATATTCTATTCAACGAGTTCTAGAAAGTGAACGGTTTGGATTATTGAAACAGGACTTATAGTGGGTTCAACGAATCCCTTAAGTTCTTTCATATTAAGATCCTAATATGAGAGAAACCCAATACTTAACAAATTATGATGAGTTAGACCATCTCCAATGGTTACTTAGATTTACCATCAAATTTGAATTTGGTAAAAAAAGACTCATTTTTGTGCTCAAACGGATTCATCAAATAGGTGTCAAATCTAGGATTTCACTTTTCTTTCATCTAACTGAGGATCAATGTGCATTTTATCAAATCATTGTTCATTACCGTTGTCGGATATCCCCCAGATGACTATCTCAAGGCTATAATTTGTGAAAAAATTGCACTGGCTGGTTGACCACCTTAGGGCCAAAAAAAATAAAAAATAAAATTTACACTGCCTGATCAATTGATCTGCCCGGTCGACCGATAGTTGGATGAAGCTCCAAAACCCTCTGTTGGAGCACTTGATATCAAAACAAGTTTTTATTCAAATTTAATAAAAAAAATTGATACACCATTGAAAATACTCTTAGACATATACTTCAAACAATCCAATCAAATCATAAAATAATCTTAATTTTAAAAAGCATATCATAATTTTCGTACAGTAAATAAGGATAATAACCATGAAAAATTATATTTTCATATGGTAAGCAAGCACGACAACCGTGACAAAGTTCTCTAAGCACAATCCAATTATGAACATAAATTTCACACATTTTTTCGTATAATTTATATTTATAAAAATTTTAAGTGAAAAATATAGTGGTGAGTAGGAAGAGAAAGGGTGGCTACAACTATAATTTGTTTGGATTTGAATTTTTTAAAAGGTTGTTGAGTTTTTAATTTGTATTTTTTTAATAATTAATTAAAAATTTATTTTATTTTTAAATACACATAATTTATATATATTTTAAAAATAAAATATTTGTGATTAAATTGTAAAAAATTAAATAAATATAAAAAATAAAAATTTATTTTATTTTTAAATACACGTATTTTTGGTATGAGTTGTTGGCTTTTTGGCTAATTTAGTAACTTTTTGGCTAATTGGCTAAAATAGCCTCTTGCCAAACGAGGCCTTATAATTTTTAATATATACATATACATTATTGAATCAATTGAATTGAATATTAGTTTTTATTTTGGAACTAAAAAAACATAAAAAGACAACATAGATTATATATATTAATAAAATAAAATATCATATTTAAATCATAATTATTATATCTTTTCTTTTACAAAAATTTAAAAATAAAAATCATAAGAAATTAAAAAAACTAAACTAAAAAAAATTAACTACCCTAACCAATAAAGCTTCATGATGATTAATTTTATTTTTCTTTCCCCAATAGTAGTAAAAGAGCTCCGAAGCCGCATCGTCGGGTTCATATTTATTCCGAAAACAGGAATCGGAGGTACTGGTCCGAGTAGCCAGCCCCTTCTCTTCTCGCCAACCTTGTCGGAAACAGCCAAGCGAATTACTCTTGTCTTGTTGTCTATCCTCAGCGGCGAAACGTTTTTCCTGATAAAATTATTGAAATCAAACAATCTTTGAGGGAACAGAGAGAATATGGTTAAAGCAAAGCATCAGAAGTCCAAGTCCAAGTCCACCAAACAACCCCATGTGAGTCCATCTTCTTTCCTTTTCATATCCATATTCTTCCCCTTATTCATTCATACATACATACATACATACATACATGTGCGGACTCATTGGAGCTTTGTTTACTGGTGTAAGTTGTGCGTGCTTCAGAGTTGCTCAATTCATTTCTTATCAAGTAATTTGATATCAGAATCTTACAGTTCTGGTCTTGTATTTTTACAAATTTTCCTTTAACTAAGTTGTATTATATACAATTCACTTGGCTATTAAGTTCGTTGATTATGTCTATTCGTTGCGTTGCGTGGGAGGTGATCTAATCTTTGTCTTGAAAATGATATGAAAGCAAGGAGTTATGATAGAACCCTAGCTTCTACTTTTTCTCCTAATTTGCTATCCATTTTATGTGGAGGGTTGTTTTGCTTTCTCTTAATTTTCTTATTAATATGGCATTGTCTTTTAAATAATTAATTCACTTTGCTTAAAGGAATGTACTTAATACTGTAGACTGTAGTTAATAGTAGCCAGGGGACCTTATCTCTTAGGGGTGTACACGGTCTGGATTGGTTCGCTTCTGTGAAAATCCAAGAACCGAACCGATCCTAACGGTTCTGTGATTTTGAGAACCGGACTAGACCGTTACACTTGTAAAACTGGACCAGAACCAAACCGAAAAAATGGCTCGGTTTCGGTTTGGTTTACGGTTCCAAAAATTTCTATTTACAAGAATAAATTGTTAATGTTAGCAAAATAATTACTCAAACTAATTACATTTAACTCATGATAAAAACTAATAATATTAAGGCATTACTTAATATTACATATCTATCCCATCCTAATATCATTAAAATTATAAAAAACCAATTAATAAAAATAAAACTTGATATTATATATATATATATATATATATCTTTTAAAATTCAGTTCGGTTCGGTTCGGTTCGAACCGCGGTTTTTTCATAAAATCCATTAACCGAACCGTTTTTACGGTTATCATATTTCTTAATCCGAAACCGAACCAATTCTTAATAGAATCGAACCAAACCGTACGATTCGGTCCGGATTACCGGTTTGAATAGATTTTTGAACAGCCCTATTATCTGTCAATTCACCTTTTGCCCTAATGACACTCTTGGAGAATGTGTGTTTTCATTTTGGCACATGCACAAAAACTCAAACACCTCTGCTTCATGGATTTGTATGGTATGCCATGTTCATCAGGTGCCAAGAGGCCCATGTCGGTTACTGCAACCTTTCCTTTACGCTGTGTTTGGTTTAGAGATTTGGAGAGGAATTTGGAAAAGGAAAGGGAAAAGGTAGATGAAATGTGAATAAAATATACTTACATTTCACCTAATTTCACATACCTTTGTCCTTTCTAAATTCCTCTTCAAATCACCCAACCAAATACAGTGTTAATGACACGTCCAGTATATGTTATTACATAAAAAATTGTACAACAAATATATCTTCCTGACTTTTTGATTATTTGTTAATAGAGCTGTTCTAGTAGACAAAATATTAATTGTATTCCCTTCCCTTTCTAAGACCAAATTTGTGGTTGTGAAGTTCAAATATGAATGCATTTATGCCTTTCCTAAAAATAGCGTGACATCGGTTCATCAAAGGCTTTGTAGTCCCAAAGGAAATTCTGAAAATTACCATAGTATTATGATCTATTTCTTTTTGTTATTTTATTTTTGGTGCAAAGCAAACCATCATGTTACAAATCTATATGATCGATCATTAATGTTTTACTAATTACATAACACTGTTGTCCTTTTGGAAAAACCCTTTTGAATTATGAAGTTGTGAAATGGATGCAATGGGACGTGTTTTTTGCGAAGCTGTCTTGTGTAGTTCAAGTGTTACATATATATATATATATATGCACACATTAGCTTCTGGTTCCATGTGTTGCACATGAATGAGAAAAATAAAACTACTTCAAATGAAAAATAATAAAAAGAAATAAAATATAACCTTATCTTATGAAAATAGCAAGACATGTTGATAGGAAAAATCATCAATATAATGTATGTACACGAGCTTTTTTATCAGCAACAAAGAAAAAATGTATTAAAGAACAAGCCTAGGGGTTGCAACCTTTGCACATTCAAATGAAAAGAAAACGAATACAAGAAGAAGAAAACGTACAAAAGATAGACTAAATCACTTTCCTACATAATTATTGTCATTATCAAATGTTTTTTTAGCACTACTGCTTGTATCATAGTTATATGTACACACCAATAAACATGCCAAGGCATATACCATTGACTAAACTTTTCTGGTCTGACAGGTTGCTTGGTGGCATGCCTTAAAGAAGGCCAGTAGATAACTAAATGTGACCGCTTTTGTGATCCCAACATTGATATTCTTTTAAGGGAAGGGTCTTTCTCATAGAATGCTGATTGTCTAATAGTAGTAGTTGTGTACTTGAGTGCCAGTTCAATACTGCAATGCCATATATTGATCACATAAGAGGATGCTATATGTTAGAATGCACCCTTCTCTGCCTTATAGAGCAGAAATAACATTTTTGTAATTTTCATAGCTGGGACGAGGACCCTCAAATGGTTGAAAACCAGGATTAGGAGAGGAGTTATTAGGATTAAATGTATGAGCGAATATAACGTTAGATTTCAACCGACAGATTGTGAGGTGCTGAGGAATTGATTAGTTTGAATTGGAACCACTTAGTTGGAAAGGATTGAAGGCACATCTACGGGCAGCAGATGAAACTCTTGACATATTGAGTGGTGATTGAGGTTGATGCAGTCGCTATAGGTAGCTAAGGTGGTTTATTAGATTAGGACAATTGATATTTGTTTTCTTTGAACATATTATGTATCTCTAACAAAGTTGATAAAGCCTAAACTGCCATATACCTATAAATAAATTTATTTTTTTGTGATCACCAGATCAAAAAACATGGGAAGCAGGGTGATATTTCTGATATTCGTGCTCAGCTTGATGCTTTTGGTTTAAAGATTATTCAAGTGACTGCTGATGGTAATTGTTTCTTCAGGTCTGTGTTTCTTCATGTTGATTAAGATACATACTACGATTAGTTGATTACTATCAATGTACTTCTGGAATTGTCATTTTATTCTGCTACTAGGTTAGGTGCCCACACACGTTCTCGGGCTTATTGATGTATCTTTTGCAGATAATGTATCTCATAGTTCAAGTTGGCCATTCTTGTTCTTTTGCAGAGCTTTAGCAGATCAGTTGGATGGCAGTGAGGAAGAGCATGAAAAATACCGGAGTATGGTGGTTCAATATATTTTGGTATACGTTCAAAAACTGTTTCATAGTCCTTAAAGAGGAATTTGATCTTGCACTTCTGTCTGCAGACATTGTATTCATCAAAGTATAAGATGATTGAACATGACATATCAATATGAAGCCTGTTTTCATGAACTTAGTGATGACTTCTGAAGTAAAATGACTGTCCATTTGATACGTTGTCTGAGGGCTTGTAGATATACATACTGGAAGTATATATATTAATGTGTAGTCATAATTAACATGGCTGAACTGTGAAAGACTCCATCAGACTTTTCTTGGAGACTTGATTGGCCTTTTAGGCATTGGAGTTTTCTTGAGAAAATTGATGCTGTAGGGTCATATTTTTTATGAGTTTCCTTGAGAAACTCGCCCTAGCAAAGCCAGAAAATACTGGCTTTGGAAATAAGTTGTCTATCTTTCCCTGGAAACTGGTGGGTGTTGTCTAAATATAATGCTGAATCTCAATTTTCCTGAGTATCTTAGGAATGTGAAAGGGGGGCTTAACATTGTGATTCTTTGATTAACACACAGTTCTCTTTTTTCTCTGCTTAATTCTGCTTGCTACTGCAGCTGTTGTGGTTGCTGTTGACGGTGCTGCTGCTTTAGTGTATCCTCCTCACCTTCTTGTTTGGTGGTTGAATATCTAAATCATGCACCCAAACATTTGCCTATTGATGAAGATATGGCCTATCGGCAATGACTTAGCTTTTGGTTTCCGAAGAGGATGCTCTTCTCTGATTAAGCTATCACAACTGCATTTTTTAAAAGGTTTTGACTTGTCTTGGAATTTTCCAAGAGTTGAGAAATAACTCCATCATACAAAATATATTAGAGTGAGCTGATATTGAATTCAAGAAATTTAAATATTCATTGCTGAAAATCGGTAATTCTTTCTCTATTTTTTCCATATTATTCTTATTTTAAATCTCTTGTCTTTCTTGTATATTGTAGCTGATGGAGTTCTCTATATCCTGATAATCACAAAAATTAATTCTCTTTCTGTGTCTTCACTTTTTTTTTCTTTTTCTTCTTGAATACACTATATAACTTGTATAGCTGTGTGGGAATTCTCACCAGTTATCCTTTGGAAGTATGACAACTTATATTCATCAAACTTCATTTTTTAGAACTGTCTTCCACAACCATTGTTCTTCCTTGCTTTCTTTCTTTGTTCACAGACCTGAAACAACACTAGAAATTCTAAGCTTTAATCCATTAAAAAAGTGTTTGAAGACAGCATTATTGTGAAATCTAATGCTACTCCAACTTAAAATTTATATGGGAGGCAAAAACTAATGGCCAAAGGAAATGATTTTCTATATGGAACTTTGATTACAGGTACTTTTCATGGTATTTAAAATCTGGTGTTAAATTTTGTTCTCATATGACATGATTCAAGTGTTATGTGTCTAGTGGCTACTATTGTTATGGCTTTGTTTATTATAGATTTACTTGAGCCATGTTCTTTTCCCTTCAGCTACTTGTTCATGTCTATAGTTATTATCTATAATATGTGTTAAAATGTACCAAAACCTACCACTACGCCTACTCCACCCACTTCACCTACTCCACCTACTACTACCACCTACTACCACCTACTCCACTACATCTCCTATATAAGGAGCCCCTCACCATTTGTAAAATACAACATAAATAAATCAATAATACAATTCTCTTTATACATTGAATTCTAACAATATGAATGATCTTTGTTATTGATAATTACAACTCCCATGTTCACTTGAAAAGAACCAATAATATCCGTTAGGCCTTTGTTTATACCTTCTATATCTCTATATTTATATGAGATCTTTTTAAATTATATATATATTTTATTTTATTTTTCTATTTTGTGGTTCTGATAACTTAGCAATTTCAGAAAAATGATTGTTGATGGAATATAAGGTTCTTGATAGAGCTTACTGCGAAGAAAAGGCACATGTATTGATTGAAGTACTTGGGCCCAAAACCTAGTTGAGATCATGCCGTAAGTGTCTTCAGTACTCGCCCTCCTTTTTTGGGGCTAGGATGTGTTGAAAAGATGCTTTGTGCCTTGCAGTCTTCAGCTTTCCTTCTCTTTGTCTGAATGATATATGTGGTCATGACTTGGGATTAGATTTTGCTTTTATCGGATTTACTAGTTTTTTCCCCTCTCTACAACTGCAATTTTATTTGATTTATTTTTATTTTGTTATCATGTTGACCTGCAGAACATTGCCACCTGGCTAATTTGTTGCTCCATGTCAAGGACAATTTGTATTTGATTGTTTTTCTGGGACAATTTTTCTTGCAAATGTTTTTCACTTTCTGATTATTAGTTGCACTTGAATATTTCCTTTGCATTAATGTACTTTTAGTTTACTAATAGTAATTAAGTCTGATATTGGAGCTATGCTTAACAGAAAAATCGTGAGATGTTTGAACCCTTCATTGAAGATGAAGTACCATTTGATGAATATTGCCAGTCCATGGAAAAGGATGGCACGTGGGCTGGACATATGGAATTGCAAGCTGCATCTCTTGTTACTCATAGTAATATATGCATACACCGAGTAAGATCCGTGTTCCTTTTTTTTGATAATTAATAATTGTTAGAATTTACCAATTTACTCCTCCACCTACCATCTCCACTAGCACCCACTTCACCTACCACCTCCACTACACTACACCTACTACCCAAACCCTCTCCTATATAATGCCACTCTGATTTGTAATGTAATAAATCAATACATCAATCAATAATCATCAATACATATATTTTTACAATAATTAATAACAAAATTTCATTAGAAAGCGGGCACTAAGGGAATGCCATCCTTAAGCAAAAGAGAAACCAAAAAAGACAATCAGACCCTATAGATGTCTGCGATTAAAAAAAAAAAAAAATCCTACAAAATCAAGGAATTGATCGAGAGAAGGATTAACTGCCATTGACTCCCATCCAAATGAAAAGCTAATAAATGGACTCCTTAACCTGTATATTGGAATTTCCATCCTTCAAAGATGTTTGATTTCTTTCTCCTCATAAAGTCCACATAAGACATAAGGGAATCTGTTGGAGGGTTTGATATGCATTGTTGGGCCTGTGCATGCAGTTTCTTTCTATGTTTGGATGATTGCATCTCCACATGTAAGACAGGACTGCATGTGAGAGAGAGTGTTTGAGAGCTTGATATGCCTTGTTGGGCCTCTTTTCTAACAGCTTAAGCTTTTGGGTATTATGTCTCTGGGAACTTGGCATAGTCATTACACTAATATTTAGGGTATTCTAGATTGATTAGTCATTTGCGTTTATTTTGATTACAGATTTCATCACCTCGTTGGTACATACAGAATTTCGATAACCGTGAAGCTCGAATGGTCCATTTGTAAGTAATCAAACTATTCCAAGTAATTGCATTGTGCATTCACCTTCCATGATTTTTATGGCTACTATTAATAAGGAAAATGTTAAAAACAGCCCTTGGGGCTGTTGATAGTGTGGGAAAATGTGTAAAAAGTATATTGAACTGTGTAAAAGGTAGTAAATAAAGAGGAAGGGACAGATCTAGATTGATGTAGGCTAGTGTAGTAAATAAAGATATGAATATCCTTAATTTGACTAACCAAATGGCCTTTGATAGAGTAAAGTAGAGAAGATGGATTCATGTAGGCGACTCCATTTGATGGAACTTAAGATTTGGTTTGGTTTGGTAATGCTAGGGACACAAAAATTTCTATCAAATGTCTCACATGGGTGTGGGTCCCACACGAGTGTTGGTAAAACATTTGGTAGAAATTTTGGCGCCTTTAGCATTTTCCTTATTTATTTATTTATTTATTTATTTTTGGGGTTAAGATGGTGTAAATTTTCAATGGAAAAAGCCCACCTTAAGATGCGGTGTGTGCAAGCTAAGTGCCAAATTCTGTTTAGATGAATTTAAGCTAACAAAAGAAAACCCATTTCCTATGCTGATTGAAGCTCCCTAGAGGAATCTTTTGTTAAGTATAGTACATTTGTATGATTCAATTTCAAAGGTTCTACTTTTGGAAATTCTTTTACTCCTTTCCTTCGGAATGGTTGAAAAAGAGCATGTGGCACCCTCTCAAAGCCTTTCTATTGCTCTTGTATCTGTCCCTAATTCACCATCCCAAAAGTAAATAATAAGTTATTCATGACACATCTACTACTGCATTGGAGAAAGTTAAGTCTCATAACTCCGACGTCTCTTGGCAATGATGAAATAAATGACTAGCCGACTCCGGGTGCTCCTCATATATTATCCACCTATTTGGAGCCCCAAGCTTCTTGTATTAAAAGTGATGCATAGTCAAACACAATAATTGTGACTATTGTCAAAATGAACAACACAATAATGAAAGATTTATCCAAAAAAAAAAAAGAACACAATAACAAAAGGTTTGTTAGTGTATTGGTTGCAACTGTCCCTTTTTTTAGTTTTTTTTATTTTTTTTATCCTTCTTTAGGTGAGAATATATGAAGTTAAATTTCTCTAATATAAAGTTTATACAGTGAGTATGCAAGTCTTGTAACCTTATATATGCTAATAATTAACAAATGTTCGGCTAAAACAGTGTACTGACTATGTGGTAGTGCTTATTAGAAAACAAATATCATTGATACCTTTAAGGCAGTGACTCCTTGCTATAGCTACATGAAATCTTCAATCTCAGATTAATTAGGATTCTTCAGTCGTGTAACATGCTCTTTGGTCAGCAATTTTTGTTACATTTCAAGTTACATCAATGGCTAATAAAATTATAGTGACTTCTGTTTCTTGAGTAGCTGTGTTGATGATGTTATATTCCTTTATATTACTATCTGATGCCACCCTTGGAGCCTTTTTGGTTCTGCAGGTTAACTTGCTTATTCTTTATGCAGATCTTATCATGATGGGGAGCATTATAACAGTGTGCGGTTGAAGGAAGACACTTGCACAGGACCAGCTAGGCCAATTATAATCAAGGTTTCTTCTGTGGTTAATCTTATTTTCCATTTTCTGTTGTTGATACTAGACCTTTTATAACAACTGTGTTATCCTACGAGCAAGATTGAATGCCTAATTTGTAGAAAAAGCCTAATAATTTCTAGTCATGTGAAAGGCTGATGCTGATCTTTCAGCAACATCTCGTCAAGCAAAAGTTGCTGTTACCAAATCTAAAGGGGGAGCTGGGAAGAATTTTATCCATGCGGAAGCCATCAAATTGGTCATGTCCGGAGGTGGATGTGAAGATGCCAAAAAAGTTGAACAGGTGAAGATTGCCAAAATTTGAATATGTTTGTCTCTCTTTTCATATGCTCACAGTTAATAATTACACGAGTTTAAAATATACTGACCTCTTTTTGTTGGTTTTGCTTTGATGTAGCATGAATGAATATTGTGAGGAACTTTTTGTTTTATGTTTGACCCAATCCAGGTTTTACAACAAGTGGATGGTGATGTTGATGCGGCAATTGAGTTTCTCATAGCAGAAGAAGGAAACAAAGAGTATTTGGTTGAAAGTGATAAACTTCCTTGTCCAGCTGATACTTCTCATGGTAATGGCCGGTTAGTACAATTTCACATTCTAGGCAATTTTTTGGGGCTTTGCAACTGAATGATGATGTCTTCTTCCATTTTTGGAAGTTTGTTTTCTATACTTCTACAGAGGTATTTGGCAACAATTTAGGATTGCAAACGAGTCGAGCTGAGCGAAGCCGAGCTTTGCTGAACTCGAGCTCGGCTCGTTTGCTTATTGAGCTCGAGCTAGGCTCGGCTTGGCCCGATAAGATTTTTTTTTAATATAATGTATTTATACTATTATTTGTATATATTTATATATTATTTAATATATAATTTAAATAAAGATAAACTAGTTGAGCTTGACAAGCCGAGCTTATTCGAGCTCGAGCTTGGCTTGTTTACTAAACAAGCCGAGTTGAGCCTGTTCGTGAACAGCTCGGTTCATTTGCAGCCCTAAGTGAGGGCCATCATGATTTTTTTCCCCAGTTTCGTCACATGTAACTGGTATTTTTGCTGAGAGGGAAAATATGACTCTTGTGAAGCAAATCCTGTTAAATAATTATTCTTTTAAAAGTTAACATGATAAATATAATGGTAGTCATGCAGATTGCTATAAAACATTAGAATTATTACTTTATTTTCTCCGCTTTTGGGTGCGGGTGTTCTCTGATGGGTCTGTGAGGTGTTCAGAAACCTACTCATCCAAAAGTTTGAATTGATGCAAAAGATTTGAAGTTTTTGGTAAGGAAATGTTGGTGATCTCCCTTGAGGTTTGGACTTAATTCTTCTCGACTACCATTAATTTTCTTCCATTAGCTGTTCACTTAATGGTGTTAACATAACCTGCAAATTTACTTGATTACCCAATTTTCTATTTACTTTTTTTTACCTGCAATAATAAAAATCACAATCCATACATCTTCTCCTTTCTCTGCTTACTCTCTATAGGCTAACACCATTGACCTAAGAGCCATTGGCACGGATATGACACTTGAATAATTTTGGCATTTTTGACAAATTAATTCTATTACTAGTTATGGAATTCCTGTTAATGAGATTCTCATTTATTCTCTTTGATTTCTGCCATTCGAACATAGCATGTCAACAAGACAATTAATAGGCTATGTAGTTTGACAATAAAAAGGTGACCTGATGCATGTGGCTCAGATTATGTAGGTTGACAATAATGTGTTAATATTAATGTTGAGCTTACATTTTCAATTGGTTCACTTTGTTTTTACTTTTTTAACTGAGTGGTTTCCTCCTTTTCTCATATTAGGTTAACATTTTTGTGAATGCCTAGGTGACAACGAAAATGGAAACTATGAGCAACACAAGGAAGAACTCAAAGACAATTCATCCACACCAGAATCATCTTGTGATCAGGAAAGAACTCATGATGATAAAAGTTCACTGAAGGATGAGAAGGTTTTTTTTATTCATAGCTCAATGTGCAAAACAAGTTTCTTTTCACCTTCCTTATACTAGTTTGTTTTAATTTGTACTGCAGAAAATCCCAAGAAACAAGGTTTGCCCATGTGGTTCAAAGAAGAAATACAAGGCTTGTTGTGGATCCATTTCGGGGATATCCTCTGCTAAATTTGTGATGTATGATTCTTGGTGACTGTTTACTGTGAATCTGTTTAAGCTTGTTTTAAGAAGTTTTTAGATATACAGTTGTAGTTAAATTTCATTACACATCAGAATCCTTATTCCTTTTTTCTTGGCAAATGACATTAAATCATCAGATACCCCACAACATTTTTGTTAAAATAATTATAAGGCCAAAAATGTATTAGCATATCTTACTCATGATGTTTCAATTACATACTAAGATCATTTAATCTCTCTCTTTTTTGGGTAGAGTTGTCTTTGTGCAATGACCAATAATAGTGTCTGGCTGCTTTCTTTGTTTGCCACAAAACTGGAGAAATGTGTGCAAAGAAAATTCTTTAGTGAGATCTGTTATCAATCTTTTGATCAACAAAATTCAGCAAGATAAACAGTTGAAACAATAGGTCCATAGCATATTAATTCCTTATCCTTATACCATTGCAATCTTGGAGACCTCAATGAGGATACATAGATAATACTCTGGAATGGAACCGATGGTGTAAATTAAAAAAAAAATAGAATAAAGATTGTTTTATTTTCTAACAAGCAATCTTGTTGCTTCAGCAACCAAACAGTTGACTATGGTAAGAGTCGAAAGGAAAGAAAACAAGGTAAGAAAGGTCGTCCTGCTAATGCTGCAAGCTCGAATGGATCTGAAGGAGGGCCACCTGATGTGGGTGCACTCTGTATTTGAGTGGTATCTTAAGGTATCATTGCCACCGCCAAGTGAAGTGCTTTGGTTTACTGTTTGTAATGCTTTCTTTCTTTTTTCTTTTTATATTATTTTTCTAGAAATATGAATAATAGAGTTGGTGATGATACATATTTCATTTTTGTTTCTTTTGTCTTCTGACAGAAGATATGTAAGCTTTTAAAAACGGAAGAGATCAATTACATTTGTCACGGGTCAGTAATGAATTCCATCATATATTGTTCTCTGGCCATTTCCAAATGTATTTGATACCTAGAAACAGAAATAACCTTGACTGTATTCATCTTTCTATAATTGTGTGGGACTCTTTATTTGCATGTAACAAATTTCTGTACCCTTTTTAATGTTCTTGTAACATATTTGCGAAGACAAGTAAATACCCTCAATCTCATAGAAAGGTTGGGAGTTTTTCTTTTTTCCTTTTTCTTTGTTTCTACCCACAGAGGTGGTTTCTTTCTTTAGGGAATGAAATCTTTGGTCTTGCATGTCACACAGTAAAATAATTAAGATTACACGTGACTCGTAACTCTCACTGATTCTTTCTCGCATTTTGAATATCCAGAAGGAACGCTGCCCCTACATTTTTGTTCATGAACAGAATGCCAGATCATGGCAGGGAGCAACTATCACTGCAAAAGTGATTGCTTATTTTATTGACATTTTCTTTGCGATTTCTCTGTTTTTCTAGTGAATATAAAAAGCGCCTTTGTTTAATTTGGCATGCCTTTCTTTCTTTGCAGCGATCTCATGCCAGTGGAGACACGAATTGGGGACAATTTTCTATACAAGGCCACCACGGTTATAGCTGCAGCTGATCAAATTGCCTTTCATATTCTAGGTGTCCTTGAAGCGTTTTTTAGCATGGAGACCCACAATTTTGCAGTGCAATGGCCGGACAAGGGGTGACAGTTAGGCAAGGAGGGTTTGTGTGTCATAATGCCTTCACAATAACTTAAATACTCAGCATGTAAAATATGGGTCCCAAAGTAAATGGCTCATCCTGTCCTCTAGACCTCAATTTTATTTATGAAAGTGAGCATTTAAATGCAATTTGTTTTATTATTTTAATATTAATTATGCTTCAAACTTTTGAACTTCATATATACTTTTGTTATACAGGAATGACAATGAAATTATTCAAATTTTTGAAAGGAAATAGACATGATATTCACCAGTCAATCGAGGGGACTGACAACACAAGAACTTCATTCACTTTTTTGGTCAAATTATAAATATTTCATCTTCTGCTTCATGTGCTTCTCTGTGTAAAGAAATGTTTTATGGGAATTGATCTCTCCTTGTTTGCATTGGGGTGGCCGAATATGGTGAGAGAGGGTTTAGGGATGACGAAGAAAGGCGTGGCAAAAAAAAGAGGGAAGAAACTTAAGGTTGGGGTAGTTGCTCCCTAAAATTCTTTATTCTATCTTTTCGTAATTTTTTTTTTCTTTCAAATTTTTACTTATTTTACAATTTTAAAAAACATCTCACTGAATCGCTATTATTAGGATAAATTATACTTTGGCCCTTTTATATTTGATTATTTTTTTCCTTAAACCCTTGAAATTTATGTTTTCTCAATTTGATCTTTTATGTTACAATTTTTTTTTTTTCAATTTACTTCAATAGCTAACTTATGTATAAAATTAGATAGAAAGTTGTACATTGACAGTTATGTGTCATAAAAATATTTTGTTACATATAACTCACACATTTAATACAAATTTAAACTATAATATAATAATATATTTTTTTATGTTATGCATAAGTTAACGTGGCATTTTTATCTTATTTTGAACAAAAATTAGTTTTAGGAGTAATATGAAAAAAAAAATTAAAATATGAAGGGTCAAAGTGAAAAAAAAATTCAAAGGCCAAAGGAAAAAAATGAACTAATATAAAAGGGACAAAGAATAATTTACCCTTATTATGATTATGTTCTCAAAAAAACATCTGCAATAAATATTTTAAATTGAAAATGAAAATGTAAAGATTAAATGATTTAAATTAAAATTATAAAAATTAAAATAAAATTTTATTCAAATTAAAGGACCAGTGATATAATTTGTATAAAAAAAAAAAGGAAGAGGGAAACTAACAAATTTCAAATCAATGGAAAACTGTATAAACATTAATAATTAAATTTAAAATTTTTTCATTAATATTGTGAACTTTCGATTGACATGTAATTTTTCTATAAATAACAAAAAAAATAAAAAAATAAAAAAAAAATTAGAAAGAGTGCTGGGGGGATTGCGGGTTGTGCTTTCCAAAGTATGGTGGGGAATTAATTGGGGAATATGTTGGAACCTACAAAGAGAATTTTCATGATTTTTATTGATATATTAATTATTGATGTGTTTGAATTTTTTTAAAAATTATATCTAACAGTGACATAAATGATTCAAATTATTTTAAAAATAAAAATGTTAGAGGTTCTAAAAATTCTACCAAAAGTTTTACTAAATGTCTCACATGGGTGTCGGACCCACATGAGACCCACGTTGTGTGGATCTCACACCCATATAAGACATTTAATAAAACTTTTGATAAAATATTTGAGATCTCTATCATTACTCTTTTAAAAATTATAGGAATCGTATTTTATGACAATCTATCATTATTGATTAATTGAAACTAAAGTGTCTACTTTTTGAGACGTACGTAGGTAGCATCTCTGCATCCCCCAATGGGGAACGAATGGCTGGAGATGGATTTGGGGTGTTGTCGTGGCCACTTTCACACCTCATCTCCCTCTCTATACTTATCTGCAATCCATTCCTATCTTTCCTAATATGGAAAGTCTTCATCCATCTACTAAGGTCTTATTTGGAGGGTAGTTATTTTAGTTAAAAAGTAACTATTGTTATATTATTTCTTTTATTTTTTTATATATATATTTTTTATAAAAAATTAATAAATTATTAAAATAACCTGTTCCACATAATTTCTAGAAAAACCCATTCCTTCCTCCCTAACCTTGATTAACAAAGGGGCCTGTCTCACCCTTTTTTTTATGTAGATAAAATTTTATTTGTTGATGGGTTTACTATTTTTTTTCAAAAAAAAAAAATCCGTTTATACACTTATATATGATTAATTTATGTTTTGATATCTGTATATGTACACTTGGTTATTTTGTAAAGCAAGGTCTTTGACTCAGCATCGTAGCTCTTGGCCACCTCAATTATTAATTACATAGTAAAAATTAAGGTAAATTACACAGATTTTTCCTAATATTTGAAAAAAAATACAATAAGTTGTACAACTTTGACATAATTTATGAAGGGTCGTGATAGTAAGTGTCATTGAGGCATTAGTTAAGAAATAATTAATAATATTTTATTATATTTAATGAGTCTTGAAATTTGTTAAATATTAAATAATCATTATTTTTATGCATGGAAATGTAAAATATTAATTACAAACTAGTTGTATTATATTCAAACTAAAAAAGAAAAGTGCTAACAAGTTTCCTTATGCATTGTTTAATATTGGGAAGTCTGTATAAAGTATTTTAAAAATCGATCGTGCTACGTAACTCGAAAACGGGGAGCTCGAATGGCTCGATTTTTTTTTTTTGCAGATGAAGAACGAAGACCAGGAAGGAAGGAGGAGGGGGATGAGGAGGAAGAGGAGGAAGGAGGGAAGAGGAGGAGGAGGAGGAGGAGGAGGAGGAGGACTGGAGGGGGCATAATATTCGGGGGAGGAGGAGGCGGAGGCGGGGCGACGGCGGTCGGAGGCTGCGGCGGGGCTGGGCTGGGCGACGATCGGCGGATCGGCGGCTGGGCGGGGCGAAGATCGTCTTCTCTCTCTCTCTCTTCCCCTCTGCTTCTCTCTTTCTCTCCCTCTCCCTCTGCTTCTCTCTTTCTCTCCCTCTGCTTCTCTCTACGTCTTCTTCCTCGAGCCATTCGGGCCAAAATGTTTCGAGCTACGAAACATTTCCCTTTAAAAATATATAAAAATGTTAAAATATGTATTAATTTCAGTAAAATTTGGTGAAAAATAGCTTATATTCTTTACATTTGATACTACATTAAATGCACCATAATTAGCACCTCAGAGACACTTGTTAACATTAGTCATTTATAAATATAATAACCTCAACAAGTTTGACATAATTTATAGCATTGAGTCTTTTTTTTATAAAAAAAATGTTAGTCACTGTACAAGCATGAAATAATTCTTCTCGTATTATCCTGTTGACAAAGTATGCGCTCCTTCAAACGTCGTCGCTTTACTCCCTGAAAACACAAACGTGAGCTAGCCGGCAGGTGTGTGCCGGATACCTCTCCGATGCCTAAGTCAGCAAAATAGACAAATAGACAAAAGCTCTGTGTATTCGAGAATCAAAGTTGTGCTAGCTCTCCATAGGTGATGTTGTGAGCTATTATAGGTTCCGTGTGGCCCAATCCTAGTAGGGCTCTTATTCCTCTATGTAGAGTCCTCCTAGGAATCACACTCCTGAAAGATAATGCTTATCCTTCAACACCCCCCTCACTGCTTAAACCAAGTGAGATGGTTTTACCTCGGTAGTATGACAAAACGACCGAGCTAACATAGCCATGCTTAAGCGGCAGAAACGACCGAGCTCCAACTAGTTCGGTACTTCCCTTCATTGCTCGTACCTCGGTTTGGTCTGCTAAGACCAAGCTAACCGTAGTAAGCTTTGACCGAGCTAACAAGAGTAAGGTCTGTCACAAGAAGCCCCAAATACCTTAGTTCTGAAAACCATGACCGAGCTAAATATTACCATACCGTCCATGGTAAACCACAATTGGACCGAGATAAACGCAAGGTCCTTTCACTAGGCCCTTTTTACCGCGGCCCACCGAACGGCCCATTACCGCGCCTTGGCCTAGCTTGGCCCTAGTGCACATAAAAACTTCCCTCTCAGTCACGTAAATGAGAAAAATGATAATATCATATCTTTAACACTACAACAAACTGCACATTTGGCGACTAAACTTGGCGACTAAAACAATTTTAGTCCCCAAAAACAGTATATTGGGCAACTAAAAACCTCATTTAGTCAGCATTCATTTAATCTTTTTAGCTACTAAATTATTTTAGTCGCCATATAGTCTTATTGGCGACCAAACTTAGTTTTAGTCGCTGTTTGCAACCATTTTACGATACTAAAATTTCATTTAGTCGCCGTATAATAACATTTTGCGACAAAAAATTTTTGTCGCAAAAAAATGGGCGTATTTTCATGAATTTTTGGTGACCACAACTAAGTTAGTTGTTGCATATTAAACATTGCCGACGACAATTTCAAATTAGTAGCCAAATATGATGCTTTTGGCGACCAATTTTTAGTCGCTGTTAAGGATATTTGGCGACAAATAATTATTTAGTCGCTAAAGCTTCGAAATTTTTTTAGAGGAAAACTCATTAATATTGGCGCCCAGTATATATATTACACAGACACATTTTTCTTCTGTTTTGTCTCACACACCAACATACAGAGCACTCGATACCAAACCTCACCGCCGCTCACCACTGTCGATCATCACCATCGCTGGCCACCGGCGCTCACCACCACGACCACTGCAAATCGGCCCCACCACTGATTACAGGTATTTCTCTGTCGTCTCTCTCCCTCTTTGTCGATCTATGTCTGTCTATTTGTATCTCTTTCTCGCTGTCTCTCCCATCCCCGTGTCTTACGATTTCTTTGTCTCACACACCAACATACAGAGCACTCGATACCAAACCTCACCGCCGCTCACCACTGTCGATCATCACCATCGCTGGCCACCGGCGCTCACCACCACGACCACTGCAAATCGGCCCCACCACTGATTACAGGTATTTCTCTGTCGTCTCTCTCCCTCTCTGTCGATTTATGTCTGTCTATTTGTATCTCTTTCTCGCTGTCTCTCACATTCCCGTGTCTTACGATTTCTGTAGGGTTTTTATATGTTTGTTTTCTTTCATTTTCTGTTGATTTCGTAATCAATTTTTTAGGGCTTTTTCTGATTTCGTGAATGGGTTTGGTTGAAATTTCAGATTGTGGATTTCTGATTCTCGATTTTGGATTGTTGAACTATATAACCAAATGTGCCTCTGTTTCAGGAATATTCCAAACTAACCCTATATATATATATTAATTTTATTCTATTAATTTGATGATTCTTGTGATATTTTCTTTTCTTAATTTTTTTTTTCTTTTTGGAATTGAATATTGTGATGATCATTGTTGTGTTTACTGTTTCCCTATACTTTGTAATATGTT